AAATATGCTTTTGGCCTCTCAAATTCCTAACATAAAGAAGCGCTGCTGTCTCGTAGCCTCTACCAGGGTCATAAATCCCTATATCCACTAACACCCTGAGGGGGCAAAGTCTCACCATGTCTGTGCAGGTTAATTCACGATGCAACAGAGACAAAGCAACCGATTTTTTTCCATTTTCCTCTTTAAATTGCTCTAAGAGTAAAGCCAAGGTCTCCATGGGACACCATCGAGATCGCAACCATCATGAAAACAAAGCTCCTCGACTGCATCGCAAACAACACTTCAGCTAATTAAAAGCCAACTCATTGAAATATCTAATTGACTTTTCTGTGCAGCGTTTGCTCCAAAAAAAAAAAAACGAACTAGCCTTTCTAGAAGGCACAGGTGGGCTCTGGATCAGGTCCTGCTGCTCTGCACCTTCGGTAGCCTCAGAGGGGAAACCACTGCACTTGGGTGATGATGGTTTCCAGGATCTGTCGCTCTCAGGCTCCTGGGTGCCCAGTGGGTTATACTGGAATTTAAGCAACAATAAAAGAAACACAAACCATCAGTCCTGGGTCTTGTAAAAGATTTGGAGCAGCCAACCTGCCCTGGGGCTGACTGATGGAAAGCCACCGCTCTGCCTCGTCTTCCTCACCTTCTGGGTGCGAGTGGCCTGGCACGGACCCCTGCCCGGCCCTCATGGGGACAGAGTATTGCCTCTGCTTTGCATTTCTTTTCTTATGTTGCATCACATGCCTTGGAAAGCTTTGTTATCCCCTCTGGAGGAACTGGGGAGAGGATTTAACTTCTCCGTTTCCAACCCCTCTCCCTGTCAACTCCCCACCAAGCAACGTCCCGCTCCGTTTTAACACCAGTGCTGTCGGTCGTACTGCGCAAGCTGAGTTTTATTGGTCACAGTGAAAACCCAGCAAAAGCAAGGTCCCTTCTCAACCAAACCCCTCAGCGGCCGGCGACACGCGGTTTCTATAGATTTAAGGTCTCTGGCTGTGCACAGCGATGCAGTGAAGCGAGGTGGTGGCAGGAGGGGAGCAGCATGAGATACCTCGATGCAGCTTCTTGCTGCTCCGTAAATTCTCCGAAGAGTTGATCTAAAGAGATCATTTCCAGCGTACTGGCCATGTTTGTATTTATTTTTTTTCTCCTCACTCCAAGAGCAAACCCCGGGGCATCAGGTATTCCAGCCCCTTGTGCTTTTTTCAAGGTTCGAAGCGTATTTGAAAGTCGCATCCTCTCTTCAAATGGAAGCAGGGAGCAAGGTAATTCCTGCAAAGCAACCAACCCCATTCAAAATGAAAATAAAAAAAATAAAAACAAGAGAGGGGGAAAGAAACCTCCCTCTTTTCCAAAGGGAAAAAAAAAAAAAAAAGGAAGATAAATCCAAACCAACCCCCCTGCGCCCCAGGGCTGGTAGAAGGTGTCCGGATCCCAAAGTACGTTGTGTTGGTGCGAAAAGCCCAGTGACCTCCAGCCGCCGTCAGCAGCCTGACCGCCCCATCCCGTGCTCGCCAGGGCATTCCCCGGGCATGGGTTCCTTGGCGTTGGCTCTTTGCCCCGTCCCTCCCACTGCAGAAAGGCCAGCAGTACTCGGTCCGAACTCGGCGACGCTCTGGGCACTTGATTTTTCATCCTGCCGAAGATGTGTTTCCCCTTTAGACGTTGCGGGTTTTGCTTTTTAAATTCACAGTCTGATCCAAAAAAGAGAGAGATAGAAAGAGAGAAAGAGAGAGAGTGGATGAAGTAGAGGAGGAGGGAGAGTTTGGAGCGGGGAGGGAGGGAGCGTGAGGCACGCCAGGCTCTTCTTCTACGCGTAAAACTCCTCCTGCTTGTCGGGCTTCTGGTACGTCACGTTGGCTTGTTTGGGCTCCTCCAGCGTGTAACTGCCCTCGTCCTTCTTCTTCATCCGGTAGATGAGCAGCATGACCAGGAAGGCAGCGAAGAGGGCTCCCACCACGCCGCCCACGATCACCGCTGCAACACAGAAAAGTGGCCCAGTCGTCAGTGCTGCCCCGCAGCCCCAGCCTGCTTTTCAGCACAAATAATTTTAGGGGGATCATTTTGGATTCCAGCTTGGGTTTGTGCTTTACAAGTTTGCAAGTAATTTTTCTCCTGAAATCTACAGTGAAGAGAACTGAAAATGGAGGTGAGAGACTAATGCAATTGTGTGATTCAAGGAGCTTCAACAAGGTCCCAAGCGCAGCGATGCTGAAGGGTGGGTAGGACCCAAGGGCACCTACTTAAGGGCAACGAAGGTGGTGAAGGGTCGGGAGGGTAAGGCTTATGAGGAGTGGCTGGGGGGGCTGGGGGGGGTTG